TGCTAAATCAGATTCAAAACTTGTGCATTTGTTATCTTCGTTCAGAACAAATCATTCTCATAGTTATAGAAGATGAAAAGCATGGCATGCTCATCCCTGAAATCATGAAGTTTATATTTTTTCAGGTTCTTGACCAATAATGACTACATATGCAAATTGTAGGCACATAAGTTATGAGCATAAGAACTTTTAGTGCGACTACCTCTTTTGTCATTCATTCTTATATCAGTGTTGAACTTACAGATACGGCTAATGCTTGTAACCTTACAGTGCTTCCGCGCACACCGCTCTATATTTCCAAACTACCAAACATCATACCAATATTTGTCATATAAATAAACCAATGACATCTATTGGTGATAAAATTTCATAGAATTTCCATAACATATTGATCAAATTTGATATTTATCTAAATCCAATAATGTTTTGTGTTGAAATTTAAGGAAATTTCTCTTGGAAATTAAAACAATTGGGCATGTAGAAAAAAGAGTAAAATGTGAGCATTCAGGCTTATATATATTGCATATTGTTTGTTGAGCATGCACTGCAATCTTACATACATAGCACTCCAATCATTAACATTATATTAAAAGAATATCGCTATTAATTCTTAAAAATGAAACACACCATCCCATGTAATTTTATGATATCAAAATACTATAAATATAAATATAAAATTTTAGGTGTTCGATATATAAATACCTAAGAATTGTGTGATATGGAAAAACATATATTCCTCTAAACTATTCTCCGTATTCTTTTAAAAACCATGAAAAAAATGTCAAAGTTTTGAGAAAAATAGACTAAATTCTGAATAGGCTCGGTTGTCTTTGCTTTCATTCCATTAAATAACAACTTACAATCTATTTTAGGTATAAAATATAGTGCATATAATCTATTTTAGGTAATTTAATAATACATATTCCTAATCTAAATATTCAGCTAAAGGGAAATATATCACAATAAAGATATTAGAAATAAGAAAGCTTCTAATTATAGAAAACTCTTAATTTAGCTGCGTGATTTCCATCATTCTTGATTGACATCCTCCCTCAAATTGATGCTGACTGATTAGGAAGCATCAATTTGCCAACAAGAAACTGATAACATTGTAGGGACAAAAAATCCTCAAGCCGTGAGTGTCGAAGCCTGAAAATTGTCAAAGCCTGAAAAATGCCAAAGCAAAAAAATGTCGAAGCCCAAAAGTGTCGAAGCCCAAAAGTGTCATAGTCTGAAACTGTCGAAGCCTAAAAATGTCGAAGGACAAAAGTGCCGAAGCCCAAAAGACCGAGGCCTGCCTGAAACTGTCGAAGCCTAAAAGTGTCGAAGGACAAAAGTGTCGAAACCCAAAAGAACGAAGCCTGAGTGTCGAAACCCAAAAGTGCCGAAGCCCGAGAGGTTGAAGCCTAAGATTGTCGAAGCCCAAGAGGATTGAAGCCCAAGAGTGCCGAAGCCTAAGAGATCTATGGTTTGCCGAAGCCGAAGCCATCGATCTAGGAATGAGTGTCGAAGCCGAAGCCAAGGCGGACGAATCGAGGCGTAAGAAGCGGTCGAAGATGCCACAGAAACAACAATGCCCCGGGAAATAACGAGTGGAACACTGACTGGGACATGTCGAGTTCAACGATACCGGAAAATTTGTTAGCCATCCGTTGGAGCATCGCCAGACCAGCTCTAGTCCGGAGGCGTCGGCGCTTCGTGTTCTGGATTCAGAGCCAACGCGAACAGACGAGGTCGAACGCGTCCTCTCCTCCTCGCTCTCCAGCTTGGAGAGCACCACACGGAGGACGTTGTCCGTGAGAACAGCATTGATGCCAGAATTGGAATCCTCTCGATCTGCGCTCTCCTGCTTCGCCATTTTAGGTGGAACCAATGCTGTGAGAAATCACTTCCTAAATCAGGAACTAGGGATTGGATGGCGATTAGGCCTTCGTGGTAGAAAACCTAACAGTTCCTAACAGTTCTGTCGGTATCCGCTGCTAGGGGATTGAAGGAGAGGGCGAGAATCAAGGCAAAGAAATAGTTATTCTCTTCCCGTCTTGCAAGAAGGCTGACGGGAAGGGAGTTTTGACGATACTCCAATAATTATGTGTGGTTAGGGAAAAAATTTGGCTCTGATACCATGTCAAAGTTTTGAGAAAAATAAACTGAATTTTGGATAGGCTCAGTTGCCTTTTCCCTTTGCTTTCATTCCATTAAATAA